ACTGTATATTGATGCATATTACTTAAAATTCAAGATTACAAGTAATTATGCATAAATACAACTTATACAAGCTCGATGTTTGAATTTGTATAAATAATTATGAATAAACATAATCAAATAGAGGATGAACATCTCATTTTAAAATATAAAAAATCTAAAATATAATTAGAATAACTATCGAGTTCCAACAAAATAAATAATTATTATTTTTATAAAAAAAATTATACTATTAAACCAAATATAAATTACTTCGTTATTGTACATAAATTAAATTATAAAAAAAATTGAATTAAAAAATTACACAAAAAAATGAAGAATTTCAAATAATTAATTTGATACTAATATCGATATATTTTTGTCAAATTTTTATGATATCTTCAAACATATATTTTTTTCAAAAATAAAAACATCATTGTTTTCTCAAAATCACATAAAGTCGTATTATAACATCGATTGAGATAAAGAATAAAATGAAATATTAAAATCATGATGTATCTCGCTGCATTGCACGAGTACGCTTCTAGTTCTTCAAAATGAGAAACATAATTTTTTAATACAAATTTTAGACAAATATTTTGTTTCGATAGTTTTTTATAATTTATTTCAAAATAGACGAAATATAAGAGACACCAAAACTTTACAAATTTAGAGAAGTCCTAAAAACAGTTACCATGAAAGATAATTTTTTTAATTATATTTTATATTAGAAAAAATATTGAAATTAACTGTATGAATTACTCTAATAATCTATATTATATCATAAATTATTTGACAAAAACTTTTAAAAATCATTTTTTATGCATTAAGTATTATTTATTGATGTATATTACTTAAAATTCAATATTACAAATAAATTATACGTTTGTACAACTTATTAAAGCTTCATATTTGAACTTGTATAACTAACTGCAGATAAACATAATTAAATACTGGATAGATATCTCATTTAAACCATTCTATTTGTACATATATGGTAGAAAGGGGCATTCAATCCTTGCTTATCTATTAGTTTTCAGTTCTTCTCTTCGGCGCAGGGTATAGCAGTTTGGTAGTAAAAAATCTAAAATATATTTATGATAATCATTGAATTCTAACAAAATACTAGTTATTGTCTTTATAAAAAAAATTATATTATCAAACCAAAAATAAATAACTTCATTACTAAATCTAAACTAAATTATAACAAAACATTTAAATTAAAGAAATTACACAAAAAAACAAGAATTTTTAAATATTTAATTTGATATTAAAATCGATACTTTTTTTTTCAAGATTTTACGATACCTCCAAATATATATTTTATTCAAAAAATAAAAGAATTATCGTTTTTTCAGCAACAGAAAATCGTATTATAACATCGACGAAGACAAACTAAAACGAAACATTAAAATCGAGATTTATCTCGTTGCATTGCACAAATTACCTTATCGTATAATTAATGTTGTAATCTATAAAAATTGACAAATTATTAGAGTTGTTGTAGTTTTTTTAGATTGGAGAAATTTTGAAGAACCTCAAGGGGCAATATAGGAAATGTAGCATACTTCAAGGACTGGGTAGGAAAATTCCTCTCGTGAACCGGAAAACTGTGTTGCAACTTCCATGGCAAAAAACCACAGCATCTTATCCATAGATTCTCCCCCCAAAGAATGAAATAGAATGCCTTAAGAACTACAAAGAGACAAGTACCACATGAAGAGGTCATTCGGGCAGGTAGCTGGATGGTGATGGTGGAGGGATGATCAAGACGGTTCACAGAGCCGTAAGGGCTGCTGCCACCGGTGGCCATGGCTCATAGCAAGAACCCTTTTTTCATTCCAACACTAACCATGATTGCAATACTAACTCACCCACATCAAAACCCAGTTATAAACCATCTTCATCTCATAGTAGTTCCAATACCCTTTCTTTCTCATCCAATGATCTGTCACCAGTGAACCACCCTAAGTCCTAACTCCGCCGATTTGACGTCTCCAACCGGCGGTCAGGAATACGATGGTGTTCATGGGTGGTTTCATGATGATTCTGTTTTTGGTACCGTTCCATCCATGGATGAAGTTGATTATGCAGCATCCTCTCTACAACAGTAAGATTCTGATTTATATATTTCATTTTGATGATGATTGTTTAACTGTGTTAATATATATATATATATATATAACACGAATGCATTCTTATTTAAGTTTTACATAACGGAATTTAAGGTTTAATTGTTCAGAGAATGGTAATCTCGTTATCATCTGATAAGTCCGTTTGGGAGGCTGTTATGAACAATGAGGTTCGAGATTCGGTCTACGAAGGTTTGTATGGGATGAATAACGAAATGGGAAATTTAAAAGCTTACGGAATGCCAAATTGTCAATTAAGTTGTTATTTCTGGGATATTTGCAGCCAAAAAGGTTGAATCTTGTGATGGCTCAATTCCAATTCCAATTCCAGTACAGGATGTTCGACCTGGGATCCTTATCAACACGAAGGCGAAGTGATGGAAATTGTTGAGAAAATCAGAGATGGTGAACAAGTTTTTTCAGTATCCAAGAAATGAGAATACGGGTGAGGGAGAAGGTGCAGCCACTGAACCATTTGAGAAGTTCTTTCTGTCTTTCGGTTATGGTCCTCCTGATCATAGTCTCGAGTCGGGTCTGCAGGTCATAATAATCTATTTTGGGAACAGGGGATTTTACAGGAATGATGTGAGCGAACTGCAAAAATTATGGGTGGTAAATCTTTTTTACTCTACTGGATCAATGTGCAAGAAGAATGAGTTTCCTAAGTAGCATGGACAGATTCTAGTTGTTAGCAATATAGACATAGCCACAGTTACTGAAGTTTACAAATTTACCTAATGCTATTGTGGCTCCATGAATCTTTGTAGCATCACTGCTGGTTGATGTTGGTCAAGACAGAACTCAAGTCCGGAGTTACGATGGCTTGTTTTTGGACTGCCCCGAGCACACAACAGTCCTTGCTTTTAGTATTCATAATTGCAACATCTTGAGCACATTCACGAGGTGTGCCAGAAGAAACCTACAAAAATTGACGATTCTTACAAGCACAACTCATCAATGCATCCCGGCAAAAGATGAAGGTTGAATCCGAGAAACTTACATCGAAGGTCGTATCTCCAAGCTTGAACTTGATTGCTCCACTTTCATAAACCAGCATTTTACCCATGAACCCATCTGGCAACTCTTTCAAATCAGGGTTTTTGACCTTCTTATCATCTTTTCCCTTTGGTTGCTCATTCAATGGAAATTGAGAAGGAAACTGGAAAAGGATAAACTGTTTTTCCTCACTGTTTTCCTGCCCACACTTTCAAAGCAATTCAGGGCATTGCATAAATGTAAAAAACAAAGAAATCAAGTTTGAATATTGTAAACCCAAATGACCCACCAACAGCCCAAGCTCTAAAGCAGAGTTGATTTTATTCTCATCATACTCCTCCTCCTGCCCAAACTCTTGTGCATTAAGAAGCTCTACAAGGAAAACAAAAGAAAAAAAGGAATTATGGACAATGGAGGATGAATGTAGCTAATTGTGAGTTTTTAACCATTAAAACCATACCTGGATTTCCAGAGCCAGGGCGTCTCCATGGAAGACTGATGGGATGGTATTTACTGTCCTGTGATTCACACCAAGAAACAAGCAAATTTCCATCAAAATGAATCCACGAATCTTCATCATACACTGATATGAATCAATTAGCAAAATCAAGATTAGCGGCCAAAAGTACCACTAATCGGATGCTTATTAAACTAAACCCTGGAATTTGAGACCCAGTAATCTCCAATGTCTACGACAAGAATCAAAATACTAGAATGAATGCAAACAATGGGGTGGCCGGTCCCTTAAATAAGCCRTACCCTAATCCTCCAAAATAGGAAAACATACTTATCCTAAGAAACTA